GTACATCTGGGCAGTGGGGATCCTGGCTGCAGGACAGAGCTCTACAATGACAGGAACCTATTCTGGACAGTTTGTCATGGAGGTAGGTGCTGTTTCTACTGGTGTGGCATAGAAGGACAGGACATAGCCCTTCTGTTACCACTTCTTAATCCTGTGCTAAGATCTCTCCTGAACCTCCCCAGCCCTTTTTCTGTTTCCTTTTCCAGACATTCATCCTGCTTCTGTGTTCTCTCCCAGGGATTCCTGAACCTAAAATGGTCACGCTTTGCCCGTGTGATTCTTACCCGCTCTATTGCCATCATCCCCACTCTGTTTGTCGCTGTCTTCCAAGACATAGAGCATCTGACGGGGATGAATGACTTCCTGAATGTGCTGCAGAGTTTACAGGTGAGGAGAGAGCTGGGGGAAGCTCACATCCCATTTACTCGGCACCATGTATGGCTCTTGGGGACTAAGCCCAGTGCTGGGGGAAATTAGAGAAACAAGTAGGCATTGTCCTGGTCCACAGTAAATGTATGTGAAATACTTGGCATGCAGAAAGCTTTTCCAACTGGCTTGTTTCTTTAAACTTGTTGAATGGGAATTATAAGCCATAATCAAATATAGAAAACAAAACTACAGTTCATTAATCCAAGCAAATATTTATTAAGTGAGCATATAGGACTTTGGAAGGAAGATTGGGCTGCGCACTTCCATAGTGATACCACCTCAGAATCCCAAGGAGGGGTCTCTATGAGTCGGATCTGATTCAATGGCAGTGAGTTTTTTTTTTTAATAGGATACTGTGCTAGGTACTGGGAGCTCTGGTGGTGTAGTGCCTAAGGCATTTGACTGCTAACCAGAAGGCTGGTGGTTCAAACCCATCAGCCACTCCTCAGAAGGAAGACTGGGCCATCTACTTCCATAGAGATATTGCCTTGGAAACCCAAGGAAGGGGTGACTGTGAGTCAGATGGACTTGATGGCAGTGAGTTCTTTTTTTTTTTTTTGGTTTGATGCTAGGTACTATAGAGATTCAAGATGACAACCAAACGAAACCCACTGCCATAGAGTCGATTCTGACTCATAACAGCCCCTGTTGGGTTTCCAGGGTGGTACATCTTAATGGAAGTGAATGACCCCATCTTCATTCTGTGAAGTGGCTGGTGGAAAGAAGGCAGAGAGACATATTTGTAAAGACACTTATGATCATAAGTGATACTAGGTTAACGATAGCTGTGCAGATTTCAACATGATGCAGGAGGAGGTCAGGATAATAGGAATAATTATTTCTCATGGAGTAAATGAGGCAAAGTCTGTGCTTGCATTTGGCTAACAGTGCTGCTCTCTGGGCTAATACCAGGCTCCCAGTGACTCACTCTGACCTTACTTCTCTCTTTTCCAGCTTCCCTTTGCTCTTATACCTGTCCTCACATTTACAAGTTTGCGGCCAGTAATGAGTGAATTTGCCAACGGAATGTGA